TGCGAGCCTGGGATTGTTGAACTTGTAGGTCCACAAGAGCCTGCAGCAGCTGTGTTTGCTGGCAGAGAAGCCCCATTACATCCTGGTGCATTTCCCCTCTCCTTTTTCTGCTGGGACGCCTGGGCCCGTCTCCTGCCTGCTCTTTCCTTCTCCAGGCTGTCTGCTGTGTTCACCCTCCAGACCCTGTGCTTGTGGTCCAATGCAGCACTGGCTTGCAGGATCTCATTGAACATATCAACTGAGTCCTTCTTTCTCCTCCTTATCTGGCTCTGGGGTTCTGTGGGTGTAGAGGTGGAGACACTTAAGAACATAATGGCGGCAGCAGCAGCTGCAGATAAAACACACAGAGGTACCATTGTCAGTACAGTCACAACGGAAAGCGAAAGTTAAGATTCAGAACTCCCTTCCTTTGCTCCCCTAAAGTTTTAAACAAGACGTGCTTCTTGGTACGTGTGTTTCGGAGCATCACTCACGGCCCCAGCCATGGGGAATGCGGCCTGCCGGAAATGAGGGAATTGCTCGGTTGTGTGAATCTAGCGGTATAGAGCATTGGCACTGAATACTGGCACTGTTTTCCACAGGCGGGGGTGATTTTAGCTGATATTTCACTCCGGAGAGTAACAAAGGCAGAGAGAGCCCAGCTGCTGCTGGTGTCCCATAGGCTGCTAGCCCGTGTACTGCAATGGTGCAAGCCGAAGTGATTGCTGACTGACATGGGAAAGTGTCCTACCGCAGAGGAAGAAATAAGGCTGCCATCCCTGGAGACCTTTGGCAGAGGACTGCAGAGCGCCTCAAACCTCCATGAAAGTGTCATCGAGATGTCTCAGGAGGATTCAAGCGACATCCCTGTGCACATAAACAAACTGCTCCGCATGGTCCCCTGCCTAACTCTAGGGGGCAATGAAAAGCAGATAGCAACTCTAGCTCTCCTGGTCGTAACACGACCTCTCCCAGCACGAGTAAATGAATGGGTCCTGCTAATGTCCCTGTGATGGGAAATACAATTACACACTTACCTGAAGTTCCTTCCGCTGTATCAGGCTCCATAGCTGGGACTGTGGTGGCTTCTCAGGCAACTCCTGGCTTAGCTGTAGCCAGCCCCCCACCCCCGTGGGGGTTGGAGTGTGGGAGGGGGCAGAGGATTGGGGTGCAGGGGTGAGGGCTCTGGCTGGGGGAGTGGGCTCTGGGATGGGGCCAGAGATGAGGGGTTTGGGGTGCAGGCTGCCCCAGGGCTATGGCAGGGAGCGAGGACTCCCCTCAGTTCTCTCTTCCCCACAGCAGCACCTGGACTGGGTGCCTCTCCCCTGGCCGCGTCAGGTCCAGGCTGGATTGGGGCCAGGGGACGGGTGCCTCTTCCCTGGCTGTGGCAGGTCTGGGCCGGCCTGGGTTGGGGCGCCTCTCCCCCGGCTGTGGCCTATGATGATTTCTTCCATGCTGCCCTGCTGTTTCTCCCCAGGGAGTAGAGAGCAGCATGGAGCGAGGGGACAGGTTGAGGCCCCATCCTCTCCAGTGCCATGAGCTCCATGGGGTTTCCAACAGCCCTGCTCACTGTGGGCCTTGGCCCAACTTCACTGCAGTCAACGGGCCCTAGGCCAGGATCTCTGCTAGGCCGGGAGTGCTGGCACCTACCCCACAGTCATGGTGAGGCCTCAGTGTATGGGGTGTCCCATCTAACTCCAGGCACACCCCCACACCTCCACTGGAAGGGCCAGCCCAAAGAGATGCTCGAGCCTCAGCTTGTGTCAGGCAGTGGGGCTCAGACCTTGTGGCATCTGCCCCTTCCCCTCTGTGGGGCGCTATAAAGGGCTTCCCTGGGTGAGCAGTTCCAAGCAGCGCTGGGCTCCCTAGTGCAGTTTGTCTCCCCTGTGTTAGAGGGTTGGGTACCAGAGGAGGCCATTCCTACCCGCCTCTCCTGCTGATCAGAAAAGGGACCCCCCCCCCTTTCCGAAGCTGCTCATTCCCTCTCTTGTGCAGGGGGTGAGGGAAAGGGAGATTACAGTTTGCAGTGGGGGGAAAAGAACTAGCCCAGAGATTAGATTCATGCTCCAATAACCCCTCAGCCTCGGCTGGATGTTTACCCAGGCCCCAGGGGCAGTTCTCTCTTTCTCCAGGCAGGGAGCTGTAGACTCAAGAGGAGATCTAGGGTGGATACAATGCGGGCTCTGTCCCAGGGTGAGCTGGCCCTTTAAGAGGGTGATATCAGCCTCACCTGTGCTGGGGTAGCCAGCCTGCCCAGGTGAAGGGGAGTCCAGGGCTCCTGTGATGGGAGCATGTGACCAAGAACCAGCCCCCATGGGAGGTGTAAGGGACAGCCTGAGCTCAGGGCAGGAGGGCTGGGCGTGTTACCCTTGGCCCAGAGGCCAGCCTTAGCTCCCAGGCCGAGGGGCCCGGGAATGGGAGCCAGCAAAGAAGTCGGGGGGGGAGAGAGTGTGTGTGTGTGTCCGGGTGAGTGTGATGGTGCTCAGCCAGCCTCCCTCTGAAAACAAGGGTGTGGGTGCGGTGATTCCCTCTGATGTTATTGGGGTGGCAGCAGCAGGGTCTGAGGCTGGAGGTAAGACCCTGTTACAAGCTCAAAGTAGGGAGTCAGCCAGTGCCTTGGCCTCTGAGAGGTACAGGGTGGCTGCCTGCAGCCCAGGCCCAGGAGTACCCCCCCTTTGAACTCTCCTGGTCTCTCTTGAGAAGCAGCATCTCTGTTGCCATCTCTCGTCTCTACCCTGTTCTCTGTGGCCCACCCCCAGGGCGAGGGCTGGCTTGTTCCCCTTCCTCTGGTCTCTGTACCCTCTGCATTCCCAGCCCTTGTCCCTACAGCGTGGGTGAGTTATCCCTCTCCTGCTCCTACGTATGCAGGCTCTCCCCTCCTGCTGGGGCCCCTAGCTTAGGTTCTGTTGTGGAGCTTCCCACCCGATAGCACCTCTCCCCTGGGATACCCCTCCTCTCCCTGCCCCCCCTCCCATGACTGACCGTGGGAAGCCAGCCCCTCCCATTCTTCCCCTTCCTGTGCAAGAAAAGGGAAGCAATATAGGGGTGACTGGTTCTGCTGAGTGGGGGAGGAATGGGACAGAGAGTTGGGGCCCCTACTTCCCCACCCCAAAGAGAGCTGCTATCAGTGAGGATGCTGGGGGAAAGGGAACTGGGCCCCCTTTTTTGCTGTCTTTAGCTGGTTGTAAGACTTAAGTCTCCAAAGAAATAAAAGGACCTTGTGTGAAACAGATGGGATAGGTGGGTTCTAGCTCCCCCCCATGTTTTAGTCATGATCTAAAGCCAGACCTTTGTGTCTTGCTCTATAGGCCTTGGCATAGGAACTGCCCGGTTGGGTCAGAAAGCCATGGCCCAGCTACTCTCATAGCCTGTCCCCAACCGTGGTCAGGATCAGCGGCTTCACAGGAAGGTGGGAGAACCCTGAGAGTGGACAACTTCAGAATAAGCTGCCCACAAGGGGAATTTCTCCCAGCCCCCACCAACTTGTGGCTGCCTTCTGCCCTGAAATGAGGGTTTATAGCCCTTATTTTCATGTTGTCTAGGGTGAGCGTGGATGGTCCTGTGCATATTAATGTCCAGTTGTTTGCTGAACCGGGCTATGCTCCTGGCCTCAATGATATCTTGTGGTACTGAGTTCCACAGGCTCATCAAATGTTAAACCTTGGCATGACTTGCTGAAACAGGGTTGTGAGAGGTTGCTGGACAGTAGGAAGAGGAGGGCAGTGGCTGCTTTCAGCTCGGCTGGGGGCTCACAGCAGGTCTTTAACACAGGAAAGTGCTGGCCTAGCCCCCTAGCCATCCACTGGGGTGGAGGTGTGAGCTGGGTGGCTCCCAAGGCCAGAAGCCTTCACCAACCTCTGGTGAGGATGGGCAATAAACTGGGCCAGTCCCCTTCTGGCCCGATCCCGGCACAGGGAATAGGAATAACCTAGGGCAGAGGCCTGGCCTACAACTCTCCAGCCCCACTTGGCCTGGCCTGGCCTGCACAGTCGCTGATCTCGACCCCAGCCTCTCCTCGTTCTAGTTCCAGCTTGTCCCTGCTCTGTCCCGGGCTAGGCCCGCGCTACCGCCCCGCAAGCATTCATGGGGCTCTGTCCCTTTAAGAGCCTCCCTCTGTCCTCGGCCCCTCCGGCTGACGTCGGGCGTGAGCGCAGCTCCCCAGGAATGTATGCAAATCAAGCCCCGCCCCCCGGGCCAATGGGAAGCGCCGCTCGGGCCCCCCTCGCCCAATGCCGAGCGAGGCCCGCCAGCGGGCGGCCAATGGGCGGGAGGCGCCGGCTCGCACCATATAAGGAGCGGCTTCGCCATAAAAGGCAACATTGTATCGCTTTATATGGGGGGAAAGTGGCGCGCGGGCGGCGGGCCGGAGCCGGAGCGGATCCCTCTGTAGCGGGAGCGGGCGGAGCGGAGCGGGGCCAGGCCGGAGCAGCCGGCGCGGGGCCCATGGCAGCGCCGGCCTGACCCGCCCTCGCTCTCCCTCCGCGGCACCATGTTACCCAGCCAGGCCGGGGCCGGGAACGGCGCTGCCGCCCTGGCCCGCGGCTCCGGCATGGGCATGGCCCGGGCCGCCTCGGGCCGGCCGGGGGCCGGGGCGCCG